GAGGGACAAATCTGTGGCCCGACGCAGTTCAGCTACCACGTCGGATTCCCCCTCCTCCCTGTCATCCGGGTCCTTGAGCAGGTCAGCCTGGTACGCTTGTAACACCACCATGGTGTGCAAGCATGCGCCAGCCTGACCTGCTGCCATAAAAGCTTTCCCAACCAGACTAGATGTAAGCTTATCAGGCCTGGTGAGAAGTTTTGGGGCCTTCAGGGACGATGCTGAGGATGGGGAGAGATAGCTCGCGAGCGTCTGCTCCACCATTGGCATCGCCCCATATCCCTTCTCATTCAGCCCCAGGATATTAGAATAATTAGAGACTGTGGGGCTATATATACAGGAAGAATACGGTTTTTCCAACGATCTTGACACCTCGGCATGAAGATTGGGAAAAAACGGAAGGCCCCGTCGTGAAGGCTGTGACCTCGCTTTCAGGAAACGCTCGTCTAATTTGCTCTTAGGACGAGCGTCCTGTTTCTCGGCTGGCCAATCGATATTTAATTTGGCTACAGCACTCATCACAACCTCCACGAGCTCCTCATACGCGAGGGACTGCGGTGGCGAGTCCACAGTCTCCTCTGTCTCGACACTCATCACCTCTAGAAGATAGATGAAGTGCCTGGCTCTCTCTCCGGGGGGAAGAAACCGCAGCGCGGGCTTCCGAACCCTGAAAGAGAGCCGCGGATCTAGCGGGTGAGGACCAAGAAAAGGACAAGCCCGTCTCGGATCCCTCCGCTAAATCCACTTGCGATCCCCACGACAACAGTCTGCGCTGTGCCTCGGCAACAGCGGGACCGCTGCTAGCGGGATCGCGAGCCTGGCCGTTCTCATCAAACACGGCCAGGCGAGAGCGGAGCGTGCGCAGCGAGAGCAGCTCGCAGTCATGACAATCAGCCCCCTCGAGAGCTGACCGTGCATGCTCCGCTCCCAAACAAACGACACACAAATCATGTGTATCCCCTGCCGTCAGATATCGTGGGCAGGGAGGAACACAGCGTTTGTACTGCCGTTCGCTCGCCATAGATTTTCTCATTGTTTTATATATGAGTGCTTGTGCGGACAGACAACAGTAAATAGACAGACACATACACAGAGCGCTACTGAAGAGCAGAAGCTGGTTTGCGCCCTGCCGGATGCTCTTTTATGCTTTCTGGTGCTTACGTCACCCTGCTCGTGACGTCTCGCTGCTCCATTGGACTGATTTGACACATGCTTCAGAACGCAGTCACGCAAGGGCATTCCCAAAGCGAATCTCGACACAGCTTGAGTTCCTGAAGGGAAACCTTCTTTTAGTATGTGTTGCAAGGTTGCACGTGATGGGAACCATTTACAAATTTAGTATACGAATTATGTCATAATTGTGAATCTGCTTCAGTCAAGGATATTTTACAACATAAAGGTGCAGATACATTTACCATTGTTTGGTGAATTTTCGCTAGTGCAATCCAGTCATTTCAATAGGCATCCATGCAGTTATTATTATTTTGCATGAGGGAGAAATTTCCCTGCATAAGTTTTGCAATGGGTTACAATTAGTTAGGCAGATTTGTCACGTTGAGCAACAACTGCTTAGATTGAAAGTGACTTCTGTGCCTTTTGACAATAGACAATGGATATTTTTTGCCTGTGAAACTGCTGATAATGTGAACAAATGTTAAAGGCCCGTTCACACCAAAAATGATAACTGTAACGATAACCATAACAATAACTATATTAGCATCTACAGCAACTGACGATAATGTTCTGGTTAATATAAACACTTCATTAATGTTGTCTGCCACTTTAAATGCTCAAGCTCTTTATAGTCTAGGGGATTCTGACTGGATGTCAATGTTTTTATTGTTCACCCACTGGAAAATTATTCTGAAAGTTAATGTTATTGCTGTGGTGTGGACTGTGGTGCGATTATTATATTATTGCATTGTAGTTATCATCACTGGTGTGAATGGGCCTTAAATCGTACATTTCCTAAACTCTTAACAACGTTTGTAAAACCAATATGCATATCATATTTACGGCTGAAATAATCAAGAAGACAAAGTAGAGATGGAGTAGCTGGAGCTGAATGAATTGCTGGAAACTGGTAAGGAGGAAAATAATAATGAAAAAATGCTTCAGTACTCTACTGCAAAAATTGCTGTATTCCATCTTTGTTTCCTCAAACTCCAAACTAGGACTGTCTAGACTTTGAAGTCTTTGCAGACTGTGACTAGATATTGTCTAGTGTAGTAAAACATCATTAGCAGGGCAGGTTAGCACAATCTACTGGTGTATTGCTGGGATAGCAAGGTTTAAAAGAGAGGGTAATAGCCTACTGTACCTCCTTACAAGATTTGTGTGTGTGTGCGTGTGTGTGTGTGTTTGAATCAGCTTTGTATGACTCATAGTTCCTTTTATAAAGAAAAAAACAATCATGACACATTGGACAGTCTATTGCTTTCATTTTTCACCAAAATTTTGGGCAGAGGGATATGAAGGCAGGGCCAATTTTCTGCCTCAAAAGAGAACATTTGAGAGAAATAATTGAACAGTTACAATCAATGAAGCCTTAAGACAAATGTTCAAATCAGTACGCCATAACAAGCTTAATACTGTATAAACTTAAATAATCTGGTTTTATGAGCTGATTGTGCATTGCAAAGCATAATTAATGATGGTGAATGTTTAGTTCTGAATGTCAGTATTATTGTAGTCTCACCGAGATGCCATTATAGTTTTTGTTAATATTTTGAATTATATATATATACGAACGAACAAACAAATGAATTAACAAATAAATAAATTCAGTTACTGAAAATAAAATAAAAATAATGATGATAGATGCTAAATTAGGAGTTAGGCAAGCTTGTTGACTTGGCAAGTGGTTTACCCTTCTCTTTAGTCTCGGCTTTTGTTATTTACCTGCCCTGCACTGTATAGCTCTGTTTGTCTGTCTGTCTCTCTCTCTTTCTGCTGGAACAAGCAGATGTAATGAGTGAGTGAGTAGTTGGTGAGCGTGTTAATAGTGTTAGGCTGTAGGCAGGGTGCCGTTCTGGTCCGGCTCGGCTGCACATGCATTTGATGGATCACTCCGCTGTCAGATCAATTTTAGAAATGCATTGGAACCGGAGAGACAAAGAGAGAAAGCACAAGCAAGACAGGAAAGGATAGAGAGGGATGGTCAGGGGTGGAGTAAATCGGGTACTGAACTGCACCAAGTGGTATAAAAGGGAGGACATATGAACACACTGGGAATGAGAGATATAACGATGATACGAGAAGGATGGCAGAAACAAAGATGGGCTAAAACGGTATCTCTAAAGAATGTGTGGGAGACTGAAAGGTAAAAAAAAATGTTGTGAAAACTATCCAATATTTCTCTCTCCATCACGCTCGATATTTATAGCAGATGAGGACTTGAGGATAGAGAAAAAGAATGATCTCTTTCACCCATGTGGTGAAACTGGTGGAAACTGACTATTAACTACACTCCGCAGCACCAACTAAAACCCACTTTCTTCGTATTGCATGCCACAAATATGTAGAAAATGTGCACATACTCACTCCTCACCACAACAGGAGCAGCAAAGGTCATTGCTAATAGTGTGTAAGTGAGAGGGCTATTGCTAAGGCAGGTTTAGATGTTTTACAGTACTAAAGAGCTTGGAGCTTGGAGAGGAGCTTCAGAAGAGGTTGAGGGACACTCTAGGGCCTGACTAATCCAAATAAAACCAAAATTGCAATATGATTTAGTGCAAATTTTCAAATATGTATTTTCAGAGTTAAATAATAATAATAATAATAATAATTATTATTATTATTATTATTTTCCAAATTTTGCAGTCCTACTTCTTCAGTGTTCTTTGCAGCCTGGGTTGAAGTATTTGGAGTCTCTTTGTCAGTTTTTAGATTTTACTTTTGTGTAGGTTGAGCTTGGAGACCAGGTCGGGGGACTAGTTAGACCAATTTGGTCAGACTTGCAGACCAGCTAACACCAGAAAAGGCTGTATTGTTTTCAGTCAAACAGGTATTCTCATCCACAAACTTCACTGCATTGGTTGCGCCAAAAGAGTTGGACATGCTCGAACAAACAGAACAATGTTTTGAAAGAGTCAAAGTGTTTATATTCCTCTGGAACTCAACCTACGAATGGTCTGTACACAGTTGTCTCTGCACAACTGAGATAGGAGAAAGTGTTATAACATCGAAAAATTAAGAATTTGTAGTTCTTTAGAAGAGTTTTCTAAAGAACTACAAAATAAAAAAGTTGAATTGACAAAAAAAGGTTATTTATTGACATCAGGCTGTAAAACCCCTTTTTCTTTAATTGGAGCATTTATTTTTAAGAGTGAATAGTGTGGAGAAGATTTGAGAGTTGTTGAAGAGTTTTTGGAGGGAGTTTAAGAAGAGTTTTGTTGAGCTGGAGAGCTAGCTAAAGGGAGTTTTGAGGTTACAGAGAGGTTGGGGAGTTTTCGCAGCGGATGTGCTTGAGGTCTTTAGTTGAGCCGATGCATCCTGAGAGACTGTGACTTTAAAAGCAAAGGGAATATGTGACTGACAGATGGAGCTTGTATAAGAAGTGGCAATCATCTGTCCACTTTTTCCCCATCCCACATATTTCCTTGTCCAGTACTATTTTTCACTTTCTAGCTTTGTTGTGAAACCTACTGTAGCAAGCTGGCTTGTTGTGTATTGCCTACATAAGCAGCTGTCTTCTGAGGTAGCATTCATATCTTAATTTAACCTATATATAAGACACTACACGTAAGCAGCAACTATGCATCACACACACACAAAGACTCACAATTGATTTCAAAGCGATTTCATGTTTACCATTAGCATTTTGGGATTATTACAATTTAATACAACTGTTTTATTATGTTTTAAAATGTAATTTATTAATTTTATCCATTTTTCAAAATAGATATATAGATGATGCACCATGACTGCATTAAAGAAGAAAAGCTTGTGAAAATTAAGAAATGTGAAACAAATTCTCTCTTTCTGTTCTTTCTCACTAGATGACTCAGGAGCAGTACATCCTGGCATCTCAGCCAAACCCCCTCCAAAGGCCGGGATGTGCTACTGTTTACCCAGTGGGGATTTATGGCTGGCGAAAGCGCTGTCTCTATTTCTTCATCCTTCTCCTCCTTGTCACCATGATCGTCAACCTAGCATTGACCATATGGATTCTAAAGGTCATGAACTTCACCGTGGTGAGCACTGCTCTGTTTAATTAAATATATTTTTTCAGGTCACGCTAATGCAAGCATCACTATTACTATTGCTTATAATTATGCTTAAGATTTAAATACCAGTGCATAACTCGTCCTTTGTTATGGCCATTAATTATACCATAGATCATGTTGTTTGGAGAGATGTGCTATTACTACCATTATATTGCATAGAAGGAATAATTTAAGCCATATCTAGAGACCTGAATATCAAAGAGGCTTTGGGATGGGCTGTTCTGAGCTGTACCTGCAGTATACACTTTAATACCTAGAACAGCCAAGCAACTGCGTAATATATATATATATATGAACCACGAAGTACAGAAAAAATTACCTGCACCACTGAATTGACAAATGATATTTTTGTAACTAAATTTGCATCTGCATCCCAACTCAACCAACTATTGAGTGTCAAATGTTTCTGTGAGACAAAATAACAATTTGTATAATAATTTGTACAATAATATATATAAATTACAATTTAATTTATAATAATACAATGTAAATTATAATAATATACACAATATATACAATATATGATATATACTAATTACAATCATTTATATATATATATATATATATATATATATATATATATATATATATATATATATATCATATCTCAGTCAGACTGACTATATGCATTTGCACAAATTAAAGGAATTGTATGTGTCAGATCAGGTAGAAATAGCCCCTAAATTGCACTTTTAACTTGATAGTGTAGGAATGAAAATTTAGCATATACATTTGAAAAGCAATAAGAAAAGTGTCACTCATTTTCTTGAGAAAATGTCAAAATAGTCGAAACTTTGCCTGCATTTGTTATCTTCTTGCATTGTCCTAAAGTCTCTTTCTGTTTCTGTGAATGGCCTTACTTGGATGTTCAGGTGTACTAGCTAGCAAGCATGAGGTCACAGAACTTTATTTACCCAGTTGATTTGTCCTTGTTTAACAGCATCTGCTGCACATGCTGTCTATACACAATTACAAAGCATGAGCTGCCTGGATCAACAGAGTCATGAACCTACTCAAAAATGAACACTCTGTGGTTTGTCTGTCGAAATGGCAAGAAGAAATGAGAGGATCATGTGGTTTTGTGTAAGTGTGTGTGTGTGTGTGTGTGTGTGTGTGTGATTTAGGCAGTGATGTGAGAACTGGAAACTACAATAACTGGTGTAAGAACTGAGAACTACAATACCTCTTTGTAGAGTTAGGGTGTATTTGATAACACACAACAGGCTCATGAAACCTCTTTTTGGCGTGTGTGCTTATGTGTCGTCTTAGGACTGTGAAGCTTATATCTTTCCATTGTGACTTCAAAATGGACTATACCACGCACACAGACTTGTATCTTTAGTCTTTCTGTTATTTTAAACAAACTTTGAGTTGTTTGACCTGTATAGTGCCTCTCAGGTGGGTCTTTGCAGTGGCAGATTAACAAACCATTTGGTTCATCTCTAAATGGGTCACCAAAGTTTGGACTGTATTACCACATATAGGATATTTCCGCCTTGTTATCAGGACTACGAAAGAGCTGGCTCAGTGACATACTGCATAACAGTGTCTGTATATATACAAGTGCATCTCAATAAATTAGAATGTCGTGGAAAAGTTCATTTATTTCAGTAATTCAACTCAAATTGTGAAACTCGTGAATTAAATAAATTAAATGCACACAGACTGAAGTAGTTTAAGCCTTTGGTTCTTTTAATTGTGATGATTTTGGCTCACATTTAACAAAAACCCACCAATTCACAATCTCAACAAATTAGAATACTTCGTAAGACCAATAAAAAAAAACATTTTTTAGTGAATTGTTGGCCTTCTTGAAAGTATATTCATTTACTGTACATGTACTCAATACTTGGCAGGGGCTCCTTTTGCTTTAATTACTGCCTCAATTCGGCGTGGCATGGAGGTGATCAGTTTGTGGCACTGCTGAGGTGGTATGGAAGCCCAGGTATCTTTGACAGTGGCCTTCAGCTCATCTGCATTTTTTGGTCTCTTGTTTCTCATTTTCCTCTTGACAATACCCCATAGATTCTCTATGGGGTTCAGGTCTGGTGAGTTTGCTGGCCAGTCAAGCACACCAACACCATGGTCATTTAACCAACTTTTGGTGCTTTTGGCAGTGTGGGCAGGTGCCAAATCCTGCTGGAAAATGAAATCAGCATATTCAAAAAGCTGGTCAGCAGAAGGAAACATGAAGTGCTCCAAAATTTCTTGGTAAACAGGTGCAGTGACGTTGGTTTTCAAAAAACACAATAGACCAACACCAGCAGATGACATTGCACCCCAAATCATCACAGACTGTGGAAACGTAACACTGGACTTCAAGCAACTTGGGCTATGAGCTTCTCCACCCTTCCTCCAGACTCTAGGACCTTGGTTTCCAAATGAAATACAAAACTTGCTCTCATCTGAAAAGAGGACTTTGGACCACTGGGCAACAGTCCAGTTCTTCTTCTCCTTAGCCCAGGTAAGACGCCTCTGACACTGTCTGTGGTTCAGGAGTGGCTTAACAAGAGGAATACGACAACTGTAGCCAAATTCCTAGACACGTCTGTGTGTGGTGGCTCTTGATGCCTTGACCCCAGCCTCAGTCCATTCCTTGTGAAGTTCACTCAAATTCTTGAATCGATTTTGCTTGACAATCCTCATAAGGCTGCGGTTCTCTCGGTTGGTTGTGCATCTTTTTCTTCCACACTTTTTCCTTCCACTCAACTTTCTGTTAACATGCTTGGATACAGCACTCTGTGAACAGCCAGCTTCTTTGGCAATTAATGTTTGCGACTTACCCTCCTTGTGAAGGGTGTCAATGATTGTTTTCTGGACCACTGTCAGATAAGCAGTCTTCCCCATGATTGTGTAGCCTAGTGAACCAAACTGAGAGACCATTTTGAAGACTCAGGAAACCTTTGCAGGTGTTTTGAGTTGATTAGCTGATTGGCATGTCACCATATTCTAATTTGTTGAGATAGTGAATTGGTGGGTTTTTGTTAAATGTGAGCCAAAATCATCACAATTAAAAGAACCAAAGACTTAAACTACTTCAGTCTGTGTGCATTTAATTTATTTAATACACGAGTTTCACAATTTGAGTTGAATTACTGAAATAAATTAACTTTTCCACGACATTCTAATTTATTGAGATGCACCTGTATATATAAGTTTGTAATCCAGGTTTTTAGAAGTGTATACTTTGCATTAAAGTTTGTTTCATATAATCTGAAAACATTTTGATTATCTTTAAGAAATTTAAATGTGGCATACTCATAAGTAAAAAAAAATGCCTTGAATACATTTAATAATAATTTATAATAAATACCTTTAAACGCAAAAAAAAATTAAAATCATGTTTGTAACAGGTGTGAAAGGATGAGGCCAGGGCAAATCCAAATGCTCGCACAGATTTAATAATAAAATATAAAAACTGAAAATCCAAACCGGAAATGGCTAAACACTCCACACGAGAATAACGACCATCGACGACTAACAAAACACTGCTGAAATATAAGAGCTTAAATACTGAAGGAAATGAAAGATAATTAATTGCAGGCGAGTCTAATGACAGGAAGCATAGTAACTAACGGTGCGTTCCAAAAGGGATATATCGCCCTCTGAAGGGCACTTCGGAGTGAAAACAACCATGGCCGCCATATTGAAGGGTCGTTCCAAACTGAAGTGCCCAAAACTGGCCACTTCAAAGGGACCTTCGGAATGAAGGATTTCAAAGAGTACAACTGATGGACACTTCGGCCCCCATGATCCTTTGCACTGATTCTTTCCATGATGACGGCACCTCCGTGTGGACACGGGATGATGACGCATAAGGACACTTCAAGAGACAGTTGTTTGGTCCCCTACACCCTTCAACCCTTCAAAGCTCTCACTCCGGGGGATAAACCCTTTGAAGGGATTAGGGCATAGGGAAGAGCCCTTCCGAATGGAACGCAGGGTAATATGACAACAATAAGGAACACAGAAGCGAACAGAGAAACAATGAGAACAGAGAATACATTTCAACATAAAAGTCCATACCAAACAAGACACAGAACCGGGGTTGTGACAATGTTACTGTATATATTAACAAGTTTCATGAGATATTAATTCATAATATTTTGGCAGAAATTTTGTTTTTCAAATATTAATAGTGGTAAACCAGTAATAAATAGTAACAAAAAATGTATGTCAATTCCATTGCTTAATCATTGTTTACAATATCTGGCCTATAGAAACCACAAACTCTGAAATGAACTATTATATCCTATTATATCATTCAAATGCAACATTGTTGCAGGTATAGGTATGTTTTTGTAACCATAACAACTATTATTTTATGGCTTCTCTGGATGATGTAGCTCAGTGGTTAAACATCGGGGATGGTTGCAAAAAGGTTGGAAATTCATCCCTCGTAAGGGATGATCCATCACCGTGGCTTCTTTCAGCAAGGCACTTAAACCACAACTTTCCTGGGGGAAATGTACTTTTAATGGGTGTACTGGATGTCACTTTGGTTTTTCTCAAGTCTTTTTTTATTAATATTTAATGTCTTGGTGGTTTCCTGAAACCAGGGTCTGTGTCCTTCCATACAGAACGATGAGGCATGCTATTTAACATTATTTTTTTTCTTGATAGAAATGTGGCTTAATATTGCACGCTCGCACACATTGAGCCCATACTCATGTGGGAGATTCAGGTTCGAGTCTGGCCCATGTTTCCAACCCATTTTTTCTTTCATATTTTTTGTGTCTTAATAAAATAATAATAACAAAAACAACAGCATCTTCAATCCACAATATTTAAACATGAGAACTAGTGAAAGACATTGCAAGGGCTTAACACTACCTCACACTATAACTGTCAGCTAAATATCTTTACAGTTTCATCACAGAGTGTACTTACATGATGCATTTACAAGTACCGTATTGTCCCGAATATAAGACAATATTATTTTCTTGGAAATACAGCTGAAAAAACGT